TCTGCCACTGCTACAGCCACACCATTTCGTTTAGTGTCATCTCCGTTGTAGAAGAGTTTGACACCCTCTCCAATTTCTCTGGCCTTTGCTCCCTTCCAGCGGGTCTCCTGAAGGCATAGGACATGGATGTTCCTGCGCTTCATAAGATCAGCGACTTCGCGGGACTTTCCAGTAAGCGAACCCACATTTAGAGTCCCTATTCGAACTAACTTCTTTAGCCGAGGTCGTTCACTCCTCGGTAGCCCTCGCATACTGTCCACAGAACTCAGGCGAGGGCCCTGTGCGCCACTTCCGGGTGACGTCCTAGCTTTATCACGGATACTCTTTGAGACTTTAGACATATTTGTTGTGACTGGTTTCTCCATCAGCCGGCCTGTCAACCTGGCCTGACGCTGGTACCGATACCATTTTTTGCAAATTTTGCAAGGCATGGAGTTGCCTGTCGACCTCCTTCTATCTACGGTATCTTCTGCCATTGGTCAGCTCAAACGAGATCCTCGTTGATCACGTTCCGCCACCTCTTTTTTTGCGGCTCCTCGTTGACGCCTCTTTGAGATTCGAACATCATTCTAGCACGTAGCAAGACGGGATCGAGAAAGGTCTTGCTAAAATCAAAGTGTGGCGGAAGATCCTGTAGACAGGAGTAGAGGTAGAAAATCAGCAAGAACAGCGGAATCTGCGACGGGGCTGGCTAAACGCTAGAGAGAAGAAGAATCGATTTTTTCGTAATTGGAGGAATTCCAACCTATTAAAGAAGGTCTTTCATAGCGAGGGACCCTTTTTGAAAACGGTTTTTGTATGATGTAGGGGCATAAACACTGAGTACAGAACTGCGGTCCATTCCCGTTAAATGGCCTTCTGAATGCCGAAAGAAGAGTGAAAATGATGTTGTCGAAAATCGCCGTTTTAACCCACTAGGCGTTGTTTCATTCATGGCGTGTTGAAGCATGTTGAAAGGTGCTGGGAAGTTCCATTTGAGCTGTCCATGGTTGGCTTGTTAGCAGCGATGGGTCGTGTACTGGATAGCGATGTGGACTTCGAGTTCGGGCGACTAGGCTGGGTTGATGGTTCGTATCCTCGGCGCTCGTCGTTTTGCATTTGACGCTGTCACCTCCAAATTAGTTCCATATTGAACAAGGGCCAAAGCAAGGGCCTGAATGATCATGGTCGTGACCAGGGCCAACGATAACCTCTACAACTTGAATTTTACCTCCATTTTCGAGTCGACCATTCCTTCGAAGCGGCAAACATATGACTTACATTACATACCACATCGAATTCTCAAAGGCTTTTGCTTTGAAAAACAACCAAAGCGATACGGCTGTCAAAGCTTCTTCATACCTTCCCTGGCCAGCCTTGCACCTACAAAATGACCCCAGTGAAAAGGCCCTTGGCCTCAACAGGTCAGCCCCACCGTAATGTAACATGACCCCTCTGATCGTTCCGCTATCACTGCCCTTACCGAGACTGCCCTCTCTCTCGACTCTATCTGGCCATCCGGGTCTCATTAACAAAACGTGGAGGTCGGGTTCGGTCCCCCCTCNCCCCCCCCCCCCCCCCCCCCCCCCATCGAAGTTAGACCCATCCTCATCATTACGGCCACACGTCATTGCTAACCCTGTTGAAAGGCAGCATGACTCACTGCCAGCAGTACCACAGATAGGCCTTTAAATTTCCATTATCACTCGATTTTGTAGGATTATTGGGAGAATATGCTCTTTCACAGAAAGGGAATCCGACAGAAAGGAGAAAGGAAGAATGACTTAAGAATGGAGGTAAAATTCAACTTGCAGAGCTTATCGCTGGTCCTGGTCACGACCATGGCCAGCCAGGCACTTGCTTTGGCCCTGGTCCAATATGGGGCCTATCTGGAGATGGCAGCACAATTTGCAAAAACGGCAACGCCTCGAGGATCCGAACCAACAACCCAGCCTAGTCGTCCCAATTCGAGGTCCATATTGCTATCCAGTACAGCATCCGTCTCTACTAGCAGCTCAAGCGTGGACAGCTCAAATGAAAGTCCCCAGCAGCTTTCAAAACGCTTCAACATGTGGCTCACTTTTCTGACTACCATTCACGTTATTTCCGATGCGCAGTCCGCTGGTGCCTTCTACTGTGCGGACAGTCGACGCCATCAATGAAACAAACGACGCTCAGTGGGTTAAAACGGCAATTCCTGACGAAATCATTTTCATTTCTTTTTTTGGCATTCAGAGGGCCATTCAGCGAAAATGGACCATAGTTCTGTACTCAGTGCTCATGTCACTACACCATGCAAAAAACCATTCTCAAAAGGCGTCCCACGCCATGAATGATTTTCCTTGTAAGCCCCGACGACATTACAGGGTCCACCCTCTATTAGCTCCATCAGCTCGGCGGAACTCGGCGCAGTTTTGCAACTTGCCTACCCATGTTTTTATTCGGTGGGCAACGTGCTGCCATTCAGTGTGCAGTCTTCAGACCATATGCCTTCGCATGATCCCTCAGTACCCTTCCTATCGCATAACGAAAAGGACAATTCTCGAAGATTACTGTTATTCCTTTGCATTGGCGATGCTCCATGACATTATTGTACGCGAGCATATATCGAACACAACTCTAAATATTCGGACGAGTTGGAAACGTCTGACGAGATTCTGACCTTTCCACGCGGTCGTTTTTATGAAAACACCAAATCGAAAACAAGTGAGAATTAGAACTGCGCCATATGAAATGATTCCTCATAGGTTCCTCGAGAGATTATTAACAGTTTTCTGAATACCAAAGTATACATGAATGGTGAAGCTGAATTTCGTACAGAGTGTGTTGCCCCTCCTTCCACCTGACTCTCTGCTCTTCCAAAACACTACTCACAAAGATTCTGGAATTGCCTGACATCAGCATTAGCAATCTTTCCTTGAAATCATATATGTATGTTCGATCACCGCTTATGTATGCGATTCTGTGGAAGCCACCCATTTCATTGGTGGGTCAAGTACTGAGGATGAATATCAACTTACTGCAGAAGTCAGAAACACGTTCAACGACGCATACATTCTCAGAAAAAACTCACTGAGACTAACTATCAGAAAATTCGGATTAATCAACCTTCATGGAATCCGACGAAGTCGAGGCAAGATCGAAAAAGCTGAGCTTCCATGTCCACATCCAGTACCTCAATCAAAATCCTATCCTCTGTATCTGCCTTCACCACATAATAGCAATCCATGTTTGGAGGATAGTTGGATTTGCCATAGTTAGGCGTTGTAAGATACTGCTTTGATCGGGTAGCGTTCAAGAATGTTGTTCCTATGAGATACTATATAAATTATATATATATATATTATTATAATAGTATGGAATTATGTCAGTATAATTATAGCGAAGAAGACGCACTTTCTTGAGATAATTACTTGCATATTTGAGAAAGCCATTACCCATAGGTATTATAACTTACCAGAACAGGTTGCCTGCACATAACACAAGTGATGATTGAGATGAGCTGTTAATAGAAAGAGTTGGACAACTATAAGATAGCCAAGCGAAGAAGGAAATTTCATGCCGGCGAGTAATGCTAGTCACGATGACGCTAGAACGGAGCTTCATTTGGCACGGTTACTAAGTAACGGGAGTAGGCAACGCGGTTCAGATAGCGCGTTCTCCACGTTTTCTCTTACTAAAATGCAGCTGAAGCGGATACTCAGAGACATGCTTAATCAGCACTTCACTATGATACAAAAAGTAATCACTAATCGAACAGCCGGGAGAAATGCTTTGAAAAATTCGTGATTTGCAAAAATATGCCGCTACATCAACTTGTGAAAAAGCGATTTGTAAAAATGCATTCTAGAGGGACCTCACTCGAGCATCCTTGAAATCTCACTCCAACGATAATGCGTTGACCGCACTTGGCTCTCAAGGATATTCGGTGCAAACAAAAGTGGGAGTCAGAGTTGAAAGAGGAAACGGCTAGAATTTTCGAAGATTTTTCACCTTTACAAGCCTACGAAGTTTCATTTAACACGTGTTTACAAGTATTTTTTCCAATGTGAGGTGTGACAGTTCTTCTACCAAGTTATGTGACGTTCTATGATGTCACACAACTTAGGAGGAGGATTGTCCTACCTCACATTGGAAAAAGGCTCAACGACGATTGGCTTATGTTTTCAAGTAAGATTTGAACATATGCAAATTGTTACAATGAACAGCAGATCAGTATGCTTTTTTTAGAATAGCCGATGATACAGGGCCCCCGGGAAGGAACTATTCAGAACTATGATGTGGTGAGCTATGCAGTCGCATCAGTCGTTCTCGAGTCTTAGTCGTGCACGCATTGTTAGGCCGGTCATATTTCATCAGACATTGCAGAGGTAGAACGCTTCTACACCTCCACTCTGAAGCCGCGCGATGAAGAGTGTGAATGTCACGTGAGCGCGGTGAGGAAACAGTTATGAAATGGAGAGTCAACCGATACTATTTCTATGGGACCAATATAAGTAAATGAATATATACACTTCATAAGCGACATTGGGCATGGTACGATGCACGCGCTAGCGTGCATGGCCGACTGGTTAACTGATGGGTCATTGTAACAATTTGCATATGTTATGAACTGTAAGAGGGACATCTTACATCATCCCTCAAAGACTCTGGCTGGCAGACTTGGCTTCACCGAACTTCAATCCAAAGATGCAGCGACGCCTCGCAAGCGATCTTCCATCCTCGATCTCCCGCATGTCGTCTTCTTTCTTATAACTTCTATAGTTGTTGTGGCATCATAATCTGGATGTGATTCACTGACATGGATCCTTCGTAGGTTTCCAGATAAGATAAACACAACTGTCCCAACGCACCATGCGATGATTCCGCCGTGGCGTTGAATGACGAGTTCTGTTGTCATCAGATTGGGCTGCAAAGGTAAGCGAGGCGGCTGTTGGCAAAAAACTTGAATGTTGTTCTGAAACGACTTACAAAATGTTTTTTTGTTGTTTGGCATTCATCGCAAGATTGAACAAATACACGCCAGGAAAGATACACTAGGCTGATTTCCATCAACACACCCATCCTTGACCAGAAGCACTTTAAATAATGAGAAAAACTAGGTGTACAGTATTATGTGTTTGTGTCATATTGAATTACGCGGTGTTCATCATAGCTCCTGTTCTGATCCTCTTCATAGGAACGGAGAAAAAGACGCCAGTGGTCGATTCATTGAGGTAATACCGGCAGGAATATGGACTTCAGCTTTGCATCCTGTAATGAAGTGCTCGTCAAGAGGTGAACCGAACTGCTTCACATATGCAACGATGAATGGCTTCTCACACTTCGAGTACAGCTTGTTTGATGGTGTCTGTATCATGGAGCAACGAACACGAGTCTACATTAAAGAGCATCTCCTTTTGGGCATCCTCACTTTCAAAGAGGACAACTCTTGATTGAATCGACCACGAGCTCCTTGGTCACAATGTGAGTTGTGCACGTTTTGACCACTTGATCTGGAGCTTTGGAACCTTTCCATATTTTCTGAAATGCTTCTGGTACGAATCTGCGAGCGAGGATGCTTCTGCCCCACGTGCCCCTCCTGCTCCTCTCTGAGTCTAGAGTACTCCTTCAGTGGTCACAGGGTTCAGGAAACAGTTGAGCCTCCTAATCCCTTGCTCTCCAAGCGCCTTCCTTCCTTGATTAGTACCCCTTCCAATAAAATACTTTCTCAGCCTTCATCTTCCCTTCCCAATCTTCGTCCTCTGCTCAATGTGTGATGGAGTCAGCCGTTGCCTCTTTGAAGAAGCTGTCTTTACGATGGATTTCTTCATTCGGAGTTCATCGAGGTGTCCTTCTCACCAGCGCTTCATTCGATTCAGCTGCTCAGGATTGCACTGTTCTCATCGCCTCCACCACACCGATCTTAGAGGTTGCTGGTCTTTTAACTTATATCTATATCTTGCAGGATAAATCTATGCACGCTAAATTGGACCTAAAGCTCTATCGCGACATAGCAAAATTTCTTCAGTATCTATAAATTCATTCCTTTCGGTTCATAGAGTGGACGGAAAAATGGAATGTGCCAAAAAATAGTAAAGTAGCTAAAGCTATGCTTATCGCCACCATATATCTCTTGGAATGTAAACAATGTACATATGTATACTGTAGGGAGACAAGAGATCCTGATGAATCTCTCTGCTCCTCCTCACGAGAGCCTCACTTTTTGTGGATGGATGCGAGCGAACTGGGTATCCCCTTCTTCCCTTATTGTGTCGTGCGCCTGCACGCTGTCTAAGTTTGCGGGTTTGATATTATGGTACAATATAAAAATTCTCTTTTCAGGATTTCCACTCCAACCTTCTTCTGTTACTTGTTTTTTACATATTGTGTTCGTCTCAATCGGAGGAACGTTTTGGTATTCTTCATTTTTTTAACGGTTTTGTTTGATTGATAGTGTATTGTGGTCAATCTGTTCAAGTTGGGGCATGTTTTTGCCAACAAAGCTGTGGAGTATGCGAAGAGCGATCACTTATTATTCCGCCCGGCTTGTAAACATATACTAGGTAATACCGCTTAGTACGAGTCACTCTTTATATGATGTATTGTCTCTTGCTCTACTGCATTCGGACTGCAAACAGGTCGGTTCACCTTTTTCCTCTATTGTTCAAGAGATTAGGTTTGCGAAAAAGAGTTACATCACTTTTTTCCCTTTATTTTTTATTGGATTTTCATTGGCCATTTTTCCATCGCCTTCGCAATCTTTGCAGAAGGAGCTCAAAGGCACATCTGTAACTGAGAGTTACTCGTCTTATCCATCTTATCTGTTCTATTCTTCTCACCAGTCAGTGACAACCTTTCATCATGATAGGCCTCGCAGGGTTAAGTTCAAGAAAGCTGGAATAGTGTAAAGCCTATAGCCAAGAGATTCCTCCCTATAGCAAGCGCATCTGAAATCAAGGGGTTCCTACTGGCCAATGCGACTTCTCAACTCGTATCTGAAACATTGTCTAACTTTGCAACCCTTATTGATTCTCCTGCGGTCAGGTTAGCGTCAAACCAGGAGAGTGCTACATTGAACGAACGCAGAAATTTATTGATAACGGGCGCAAAGTACAGCCATCGAACTGGGAGCAAACCGGATAAGTACAACGGAACTTTATGAGAGACCAATGAGAAGTTCAATAACTCGAACATAAGAGCGTCACAGGCTGGAGCTTTTTTTGGATTGGAGCAGATAATACCGATCACCCTACCACAGACCTTCGGATACTCTGCGCTGCAAACAATGCCATGCCTCAATGTGAATGGAAAAAATTATTATAAAGTCGTAGGTTTCTTGGGAAGGATGATTAATTGACACTCCGAAGTACAACGGTGTCTCCTTGTTACTGTAACGCCAATGGTGACCTAGTCAGGGGATGAAGGAATATCTTCAGATGACTTCCTTTAAAGTCAAAAAGGGCTGCCAAAGACAAATTAATCTCCGGTATAAAGTTCTCGAACGGTGTATTAGCGTTTCCACTCAGGTGTATAAGCGATTTCACCCGAGAACCTTCAAGGATTCGAAGTACAGTTCAGGAGAATTTGTGGTACCCTATTCAAGAAGGAAGACGGAAGTTCTGGTCGGGAGTAGTGCATCGGTGGATAAATCAGTAAATTTAACGTGAAATAAAGCTCTTCAGTCGAAAAAAGCTGAAATAGAGTACTGATTATGGAGGTCGTACGAAATTACCATGACGCAAAACTAAACGGAACGGGTTCTTGAACGAGACCTTCGTTGTTGCAACTGCGCAAAAAGCTGATTACACACACCGGGTCAGAACTGCTCATAACTGCCTTTCACAATCGCTTTGAGTCGTAACAGGTTGATTAAACTTCCTACAAAGGTATACTTGGGTAGTGCAGCTTATGTAATGCAATTGAAACTTGTCGGCGTATACCCTCGGAACAATCTTTGAGGCTTTATAACGCTTTATCTAGACCGCTTTCCAACCTGACAGAGCCACACATGGTTTAGAAGGGGACCACATATTTTTCCTATCGGGACATTTCACAAATAAATTTTAGCGCGATCTGTGCTTCTGTGCCTTCAAAGCGAAGTCTGTGAGTATGTGTCTGTGGCGTCTGTGTGTGTGCGTGTCTCTATGCGTCTGTGTGTGTCTGAGTGTCTGTGTGTGTGCGTGTCTCTGTGCGTCTGTGTGTGTCTGTATGTCTGTGTGTATGTGTTCGTGTTTGTCCGTCTGCGTGTCTGTGTGGGCCTGTGTGTCTGTCTGTGTATATGTCCGTGGGTGTCTGTGTGTCTGTGTCTGCCTCTGTGTCTGGGTGCAT